CCCAGCGTCTCGATAGTGCTCGCTCTCGCACAGGCAGTCCCACCGAGAACCCGCGCCGCGGATGTCGGTCGTCTCGGCCGCTCCGAGCGGGCAGGGCGAGCAGCCCACGTTCCCGGCGCCCGCGGCGAACGTGCCAACGGAGCAGTCCGCGCAGCCCACCTCGGGGAACAGTCAACGACATGAGCGTGCACTTTCGGAGCCCCGCGCGGCGCACCCAATCTCCTCCTCCCTCCTCCCCCTCCTCATCCTCCTCCTCCTCCTCATTTCCTCCTCCTCCCTCTTCCTCCTCCTTCCTCCTCCTCCTCTCCTCTGCTCTCCTCATCCTCCTCCTCCTCCTCCTCCCTCCCCCTCCCCCTCCTCCTCCCCCCTACCCCTTCCTCCGTCCTCCTCCTCCTCCTCTCCTCCTCCTCCTTCTCCTCCTCTTTGCGCTTGGCGGACTTGTGTGAGAAAAAGGCCGACTTAGTCCTAGTGTGTCCTCCTCCTCTTCCTCCTCCTCCTCCTCCTCCCTCCTCCTCCTCCTCCTCCTCCTCCTCCTCCTCCTCCTCCTCCTCTTTTTCCTTATGTTTCTCCTCATCCCCTCGAAGAAGAAGGAGAAAATAGAACAGAAACGTCCGGAGCTCCGCGCTGACCTCTTGGATCGGCGCAGGACCCCCTGGCGGCGCCTCCAGCACGGCCCCTGGCGCACTCCGCGCGCCAAGGAGGGGGGTCCAGCGCCGATCCAAGAAATCCGCGCGGACCTCCGATGCTTGTTTATGTCATTGTGTTCCCCGACCACCGTGCCGTGCACTGGCGAGTACTTTCCGCTCTCGCACCACTTGCATATGCCCTTTCCTGGCTGGTCCTGGAACGTGCCCGGCGAGCACGGCTCGCAGACGCGCTCCGCAGTGCCATTCCAGCGCTGACTCATAGACCCAGGCGGGCAGAACTCACACCCAGACGCCCCGAGAGGCGATGGGAGAAAATTCCCCTCCAGGTCCACCAGACCCTGCCCTTCGATGCAGTCGGTCTTGCTTGGTATCCATCCAGCCCACACCGCCTCGTTCTCGCGCAGCCACCTGCACGAGATGTTGTAGTAGGACTCTGGCGAGGTGGACCCTTCCAGCGCCAGCCACCTCAGCATGCCCATGATGCTGCCGGGGTCGACGGCCATGCGCTCCACCAGGGCAACGGCGTCGGGCGCAGTCGAGCGGAGGTCGGGGGCCTTTAGGGGGTCAGCTCGGGGGGGGGGGGACATCGACCTGGAATCGGCGATGCATCGCCAACATGTTGGCGACAAGCCCCCGCGAGCGAATCCGCACGTTCTTGGGCGGGGTGGGGCTACCTAGAGCCCGCCCGGCGAGCAACGGGCGAGTGGGGCTCGATGCGTCCCCCCGGAGACTATCCCCCGGTGGTTTTCGGGTCATCGCTCGGGCCTTCGGCGGCCGTTCAGGACGATCCGGGCACCCCTGGAAGGCTCTCGGCGAGGCGCAGCCGCTGAAGGCATCGCGAGGCTGGACAGCCACGGGGGACCGACGAAAACGCCCGAACACCTCGAACATCGGACCCGAAACGTCCCCCCCTGAGCCTGGCACGGGGCCAATAATCGATCCCTGGACCTCTCCTTGGGCGAGTTCTGCCCAGAACTACGAGGCGCATACAACCGTGGCTACGAGGGCTCCCCAGGACGATGAGAAGCCTACAGAAAGCGAACTTTGAAGCTCGAACCCATCCTGAGCCTATCCCCCCTAGCGTTGCCCCTGAGGGCCGCACAATTGTAGAGCTTCACCCCATTCTCCTCCACCTCCTCCTCCTCTTCCTCCTCCTCCTTCTCATCATCCTCATCCTCATCCTTATCCTCAATTCCTTCTCCGTGTGAATACCTCCTGTCTGTCGCACCCCAAGGCCAATCAGAAGGGCGGGCCGGGCGTTTTCGCTGGGACTTCCTTTCCATGTATGATCATGAAGTTTAACATCTGGCAGCAGTTACATAGATGGAAGGCGGGCGGTTTTCAAAATGTGGCTTTCGCCTTAGCGACGCGCACAGTCGTTGAACCATGCAAGAGCTTTACAGGTTGAGCGCGGGCGGTTTTCAAAATGTGGCTCTCGTCTCAGCACCGCACACACTCGTCTTACAGAATTGCAGGAGCTTCGCGGATTGAGGGCGGGTCGTTTTCAAAATGTGGCTCTTGCCGTAGCGCCGCGCCCATTCGTCTTAAAACAGCGCAAGAATTTCACGGATTGAAGACTGCTCCTTTTCAAAATGTGGCTCTCGCCTCTAAGCGTCGCGCACATTTGTCTGACAAAAATGTAAGAGCTTCACGGATTGAGGGCGGGTCTTTTTCAAAATGTGCCTATCGCCGTAGCGCCGCGCAGGTTCGTCTTAAACATTGCAAGAGTTTCACGGATTCAGGGCGACAGCTTCTCAACATGTGGCTCTCGCCTTAGCGCCGCGCACTTTCGCCTTCAACACGTACAAGAGTTTCAGGGATTCCCATGGTCAGCGTATCAGAAAGGGAGTTTTGGAACGATTCGGGACCCTCAGGGCGCAACAGTTCTATTGATGCACGGTGTGAGAGTGCCAAGAATGGAGTTCTTGCGTGACTCAAGATCGTCAAGACGCAACAATCAAACAATCAAGTTGACTCGTGGCGTTGGAATCCCGAGAATGATATTTTGGCACGCTTCGGGATCTTCAAACGGTTATCTCCGAACGGGGCACCTTCCGTAGTGGAGATGAACCCGTGTAGGGGCCTATGGAGAGAGAGAGCGGAGGGAGGGCTTATTCCAACATCGTTGGTGAGTCTTTGGTTTCCGCTGGTCCTCATCCTCGTCTTCGTGCTCATCCGCATCCTCATCCTCATCATTGTCATCATCAGAATCATCATCATCACCATCATCATCACCATCACCATCATCATGATAAACACCATCGCCATCACCAACATCACCACCATGGTCATCACCAACATCAGCATCAGCATCGTCATCGTCATCGTCATCATCATTATGATGATGATGATCATCATCATCACTAACATCATTGTCATCACCATCACCATCACCGTCATCATCGTCATCGGCATCATGATCAGCATCATCATGAGCATCACCATCACCATCACCATCATCATCAGTATTATCATTATCATCATCATCAGGATCATCATCACCATCAGCATCAAAATCATCATACTCATTAGCATCATCATGATGATGATCATGATCGTGATCATGGCCATCATCATCTGCATCATCAATTTCACCAACATCATCATCAGCAGCATCATCATGATCACCACCATCATCAACACCATCATCAGCATATCATCAGCATCATCGCCATAATCAGCATGATCACCACCATCATCATCATCATCATCATCAGCAGCAGCAGCATCATCGTTGGCATCAGCAGTACCAGCATCATCATCATCATCATCATCATCATCATCGTCATCATCATCACCACTACCATCATAATCATGATCATCAGCCCCATCATGATCCTCATCATCATCATCAGCTCATCATCATAATCAACCTCAGCATCAGCATCATCATTACCATCATCAACATCAGCATCACCATCACCATCATCATCATCATCAGCATCATCATCATCATCATCATCATCACCACCAGCACCATCACCATCATCATCAACATCATCATCAACATCATTATCAGCATCATCCGTCTCCGCCTTCTCCTCCTCCTCCTCCTCTTCCCTATCCTCCTCCCCATCCCCCCAACGTTGCCCATGAGGGCCGCAAAGTTGTAGAGCTTCACCGCCTCCGGCGCCGTCGTCTTGAGGCCGACGGCGAACTCCGCCGGGCTGTACTCGGGCATATCCACCACCAGCAGGCCGAGGTCGGCGAAGAGCGCGTCGGGGGTGTACCAGAAGGTCAGCACCTTGGGCTTCTGGTTGCACCAGAAGGGCAGCGCGAGGAGACAGGATAAGAAAACAACAAACAACAGCAAAACAGCAACAAGCAGCACCGTCAGCTGGGAGTCTAGTCCCGGGCCCCCACTGCCCACAGTCGTGGGCCTCTCGCCGTCAAAACAGCGATGTTGTCTGAGAGCTGCCATGCGAGACCGAACGAAGGGGAGACAACGTGGACGAGTGCGAGACAGGCAGCCCAGGGCCCGAACCCCCTGCCTGTGCGGCGCGAGCACCTGCTGCTCGTCAAGAGCACCTGGACAGCGTTGCCAGACGCTCGCGTCCTTTGGGGCTCGTTCACCTCGGACTACAGGGGACAGGGCAAGGGGCGGGCGCGTCCTCTGGATGTCCCAACGCGCGTCCTGCTCGACTTCCTCAGCTCGCGGGAGGCCCTAGTGGCCCGGGTCAGGAGGGCGCGGCAGATAGGTGGTGAACACGGGGCGGCGTGGCGCAGGTTCTGCGCAATGCGTGGCGGTGGCGCTCGCGACCGCTGCCGGCGCGACGCCGCCTTCCTCCGTTGCTCTCTCTGCCGTGCGCCGTCGCCCCTGTGCTCTCGAGCGCGCGGAACAGCGCAAACGCGGCGCCCCTAGACTGGCAGCGTGCTGCCCGCCCCGACAGCGCGAGGCCCCCGAAGGCCTTCGGCCGCAGATTTGACGCAGGCACCTGCGCAGGGCAGGCACCCCTAGACCAGCCGCGCGCCGTCCGCCCCGACGGCGCGCTGCCTTCGCGGCCGCAGCAAGGGCCGCCCGCCAGGCAGCTGCAGCGCTGGCGCTGGGCCGCCTGGCCCCGACGCCCCGCCAGCTGGGGCCCCCCGGCAGGTGTGGCGTTCCTGCCCCTCCCTGCTCCCTTCTCCCCTTTTCGCCATTCGTCGATTCCCCCCCTTACCTCCGCGCGCCGCCGCGGCGCTCGCGAGGCTGCCGCGGCTAGCGGCTTCCCCGCGCGGCTGCGCGCCTGGGCTTGGTCTTGCCGCCCGCGCCCCCTCGCGGGCCAAGCGTTCTGTTTGTCGCAGTCTAAGCCTCGATTGCTCGTGGACTTGCCGTGCCTTGTCAATATGCCACCCGCCTGCGCGGCCTTGCAACCCTCTTCCTGTCGCGCCAGTGCCTCGCCTACTTCGTCGGCAGGGTCGCTGCAATACTTGCTTTCCACGTACTGGGCTTCGTCATCGCCCGCGGGTGTCCCGGCGCCGCGGCCCGGCTGCTGCCGTGGGTCCCGCTGTCGGGGCCGGCCACACAAACGCGCTCAGGTGAGGTGTCTTCCGCCTCTGAATGGCCTCTCCCCCCCCCCGGCGACCACCATATCTCACCATATCTGTCCTTTCCCCGCTCCTGCACGCTGGCCAAGTACCCCCGTTTAGCTGTAGCGCTGGCGCAGCCAACTCTGCCCTTCCGTCGACGGAAAAACGCGTGCGTGTGTGTGTGTGTGTGTGTGTGCGTGTGTGTGTATGTGTATGTGTATGTGTATGTGTATGTGTATGTGTATGTGTATGTGTATGTGTATGTGTATATGTATGTGTATGTGTATGTGTATTTTTTTTGTGTGTGTGTGTGTGTGCGTGCGTGCGTGCGTGCGTGCGTGCGTGCGTGCGTGCGTGCGTGCGTGCGTGCGTGCGTGCGTGTGTGTGTGTGTGTGCGTGTGTGTGTGTGTGTGTGCGTGTGCGTGTGCGTGTGCGTGTGCGTGTGCGTGTGCGTGTGCGTGTGCGTGTGTGCGTGCGTGCGTGCGCGCGCGTGCGTGGGCGCGGGTCGGGCGGGTGGTGGTGGTGGTGGTGGCGGCGGCGGTGGTGGGGCGGCCTGCACTTCTGACGTTTGGCAGACAGGCTGGCAATTACCTCGCTGAAGCCTCTCTCGTCGGCCCCTTGGGCTTCCCAATGCAGCGCCCCGGGCTCAATGTCGACGTCGAACTTTGGCATTCGTGCCTGCTGCGCTGTGAGGGGCGGCTGGGGATGGTGCCGATGCCGCTGCGGCGCCGCCCCCCGCGCCTGCAGAGCCTGCTCTGTCATCTGCAATTTTGCCGAAGGGGTTGGTTCCAGTCTGACTGACCAAATCTGGAATCTGAGCCCCATCGGCAACATCGCGCACAAGCGCATCATCAGCCTCGAAAAGGGGCGGCGGCTCCCCGCCATCTTGCCTTGGGTGTTTCCGCGCGAGCACCTGTTTGAACTTTTTGGCCGCCGGACTCGAAGATATTTTCGAGCTTTGTCGTCTCGTCTGGGTCCTCAGCGAGCTCCTAAGCGTCCAACTACGTTGGCCATGTCTCGGCCGACTCTTTACGCAACTGCTCAACTTCCCTGCTGGTCAACAACTGCTGGGCCAACGAGCGGTTGAACTTTCCCGATTCAAATCCGAATGCATCATACTGGTTGGCGACCTGCTTTGAAACTTGCTCCTTCTGATCCTCAACCCTTTGTAAACGATGCCCCGTGCAATTATGAACCATGAGCTCGGGGTTGAGGCTGGTAAATTGTTTTCGCGCATCATGTGGTTCACCCGTTCATCCTCCAGAGTCAGCTTAGCTGCACCACGGACAGGAGCATTATCCACAACCACGCGAAGCCTGCTCTATATGTTCGTTCGTGGTCGTAGGCGGTGTCAGACCAACCCCACCTCCACCAGAAGTAGAACCAGTGCCACTTCCACACGAAGCCAACTGATCGTATTTTCCCTGGGGCTCCGCCAATTGTTTGTTGATGGCCGTCTCCTTTCGGTTGACCTGTACTTTATCTTGCATGATGCCTTGCAGCCCTAGCGACCTGGTGAGGGGACGCCATGTCACACATGTAAACCTGCCGCGATGCCCAAGCCCGCAGCCTCCGCACGACCAATACGGCAATCGAGGTCCTGGAAAAACGTCGCCGCCATCAACTACGCGGATTCGCAGACACGGAACGAAATTCTCCTGCAGGAGCTCACTGGGTGAAAACGTGAGGGTTGAAATCGCTCGAACTGAAAGCCAAAAAGACCCGTTCCGTGACTGCCGCTCTGAAAACGGCGGTGGCAAGCCCAACGTTGGGCCAGAACGGCTGGAAGGACCAAGGAGGGGGCGGCGGAGGGGGAGGATCCATGGAAGCACGAGCGCCTGCAAGGCCAAGCCTCAGGATGGGGACGACGACGCAGAGGTACCGTCGACCTTGCGAGGTCGACCTGGTGGTGCACGCCGACTGCGGGAGACAGGTAGAGGCCTCCCAGACGGGGTCGCAGCACATGGGGTCGGAGGATCGACCCGCATCGTCGATGCATCGCTGATGCATCGGCTATGCACCGGCGTCGTCGGCGATGCATCGGCGACGTCGGCGTGGGGAAAATCGGGATCCATATCGAGCCGCACCGCCGATGCATTGGCGATGCGGCGCGATCCTCTGACTCCGACCCCATCTGCTCGGACCCCGTTTGGGGGACCTGGAAAAGACGAGGCGGCGAGGGAAGGTGCGGCTACCGGCCCGAAGTGGCCAATTGCCCCTCCACCGCGTCGCCGTAATCCGTCTGGGCGCGGGGGGCTGGGGGGCTGCACAATCCAGCAACTCCGTACGGGGTTTTCCTACCTACGGGTTCCTGCGCGGTCTTGAATGTTCTGCCGGTCCTCCTCCTCCTCCTCCTCGTCGTCGTCGTCCTCCTCCTCCTCCTCCTCTTCCTCCTCTTCCTCCTCCTGATCCTCGTCGTCCTTCTCCTCCTCCTCCTCCTCCTCTTCTTCCTCCTACTCGTCCCTGTCCTCCTTCCAAGAGGGAGGCATGTGGGAGGGGATGATGGAGGAAGGACACGAGGTTCCTGGAATCGGGAGGCAGGGGAAAGGAGGTAGAGGGGGAGGGAAAGACCAGTGGGAACGCATCCGCAAGTTGCCGGCAAAAACCACGTGATGTCATGGCACAGACCCTTGCCACGCAGATGCGTAACCCAGGTGGGCGAGTGACGGTGATGATGGTGACCCCGATGACGAAGGCGACGACGATGCCGACGATGATGTTGACCATGGCGGTGTGAATGATAACGGCGGCGTTGGTGATGGTGATGGATCTGATGGCGCAATGAAGGTGACGACGCCAGCGATGATGACAATGGTGTTAATGCGGACGTGCGCGGATAGGGACAGCTTACCTTCGAGGACATTATCGTTGAACAAATCAATGGGTAGCACTCTTGTTTGAAAGCGTATGTGTTGACATGTATTGCCGGGAAAATTGGGTTGTAATTTATTTCGGCGTGCGCGCGTGGAGACGCGTGCGTGCGGAACGCATGGCGTGACTTGAATGAGTTGGCGTGTGCAACGCGTTTGTGAAATAATTTCGCCAATCGCGGACACGTGGGCCGCATGGTCACTGGTGGTGGAATTGCAATAACAATTGTGGGTCTGACTTCTGAGGGCGCGCGCGCACTGATATCTTGAATTTGCTGGGGGGGAACAAAAGTAAATGCTGATGGGCGTTGCCCGGCCGGCTGGCATCGTACTGTTTGATATTTGCCACCAGCTACCGTGTAAATTCAACATTGAAAAATAAGCTCCCCACCCTCGAATGTTGCATGTCGCATATGGTTATGCCTCCTCGTATAAATTCAAAACCATTCCGGCCCATTTCGCGTGTGATTATGCCTCCTCATATGGTTCGCGTGTGCTTATGCGTTTTTCATGTCGCATGTCGCGTTCGCATGCGAAAAGCAACCATTCCGGCCCATCGGGCATCGCCCCCCCTCCCGCCTTCATTGAGAATGTTGCCATGCGCGCGCGAGCGTTTATGAATTGCGCTACCGAGGAGCCCCGCGTATATATAATATGTCTGTCATGATGATAGCTGAATGGCGACGGTGGCCGTTGCCCCGCCGACGCCGTTGGCGCTGCCCGCCAAGCCTTGGGGGCCCCGACGCGCTGCGCGGAATGAGACGGGGGCGACGCCGAAGAGAAGCCGAGTTGTCGTGGCATCACGCAGGAAACGGTTCGCGCGCCGCCGCTTCGACAGAAAGTCCCCGGGGGCAAGCGCTCCTCGCGCGGGCTGCCCAAACAACGCGGCTCGGGGCTCTTCGCGCGAAGCGCAGCCTGTCGACAGGAAATCTCGAGCCTGCGCGCGCGCGAAATTGCGGGGGGGAATGGCGGAAGCGTTCGGCGTAATGCTTCTGCGACCCCGCATGGCGCAACGCCGGATTACGCCATCCCTGGCGGCGATGCGCACCGCGCGGCGGTTCTCATGAACGGCCGCGCTGAGCTCGCTGTCGTCGGGGCACCCCAACTCCAGCAAGAGGGGCCTGCAGTCGCCCGCGATGATCATGCTGCGCGACTGCCCGGGCGACCTGCGTCGCCGACGGGCGCGACGCCACTTCGGGGCGCTCCAGCTGAGGAGTTGCATCTCTGCGCTCGCGGATAATCGGTGCCCTGCCCCGCTGCGCCCCCTTGGCGGCCGGGGGCGCCCGGCAGTCGGAGTCGAACCTCTCGCGACTTCTGTGGCCGGGCAGACCTTCGTTGCACTGCCCGTAGCCATTCGGACCTTCTCTGCTCCTGCGCCGCAGAGCCAAGTGCATCGACTCGCTCCTGCTCCGCGCGAGGCTCCTTCTGGGGAGCACGCCCGCTGCCAACCCGCACTCCGGGCTCGCGGGCTGGCGGGCGTCGTGGCCGCGGTGGCGCGCGTGCCAGGCTGACTCCGTCACCGCCTCGTCCGCATCGGTCGATCCTCTGTCCGGGTGGAGCGGCGCCCCCTTCGATGATGGCGATCTCGGTCTGGCTGTCGTCGACGGCCTGTTGGGGCTCCGCGCCGGCAGCGACGGCCTGGAAGTCGCAGGCCAGCCCAGCCGCGCCAGGCGGCCCCCCCGCGCCCTGGATGTTCGAGCCAGCGCGTGGCCCAGGGGCACGCTGGAGTCGAACTTGGCGGCGTTCGCCTGCCACGCGCCGTCGAAGAGCTCCGCCGCCTCCACGTCGACGTCGCCCTTGTCCTCCAGGACATCCCAGGACTCGGCGTCGTCTGCGATGTGGGAGGCCGGCAGGGCCTCGTCGAATGTGGCCCCATGAATCGCCGTGCGCTGCCTCGGGAACGTGGCGCCCTCTGGGAACGCCGTGCCCACTGCGCATCTGATGGCCGCCTTGGAGGCTCGACTCTCCGAGGTAAACATCGATCGTGGAATGGCCCCGTAACTGCGTGCCCATCTCCCCCTGGCCCGATGGTGAGCTCGATTAGCGCGGCGGGCGCGGGCCGAGACTGCAGCCCGTCGCGCAGTGGCTCCGCGTCCTGCTGCGGCACCAGCCGGCGCGGGTGAAACAGCACTAGGGCGCCAAAGGCGTGCTGCTTGCGCGGTGGTGGCGCCGCGTGCCTCCTGAAGTAGGGGGTCGCGCCGTCCTTGTCGATCATGGGCCCATTCCACATGGCGATCCAGAAGAGCAGCGCCATCGCCCACCACTCTTCGTCGAGGCCTGACTGGATGAGCAGGGCTCGCGCCCGCCAACGTTGTCCAAATCGACATTTCCGCCTTCGGGGCTTGTCGTCGCGGCGCCGACGCGAAGCGCGCCGGGGGGCGCAGTGGCCGCGCGCGCCGCAGAGCGGCAAGAAACTCAACAGATCGAGCAGACCACCGCCTCCGAATCGTTGGCGGCACCTCGTCGCGCCGATGGGTCAGCTCCGCCATTGCGCCGGCCTCCTTCGAGTTCAAGGGCCCGGCGCCGAGGAACACGGTGAGGTTTTCCGTCAACATCAGCGCGCGCTGCGCCGTCTTGCCTGCCTCCACCAGCGGGTCCCTAGCCAGTCGACGTGCGCCATCGCCCCAAATATATTGTCGATGGCATCCTGGCTGGCGATGTGCACCATGGGCTCCGTGCGCCGGAGCTTATACTTGCGCAGGTGCTTGGCGTCGTCGCAGATCGGGCATCCCTTCGAGCGGGGCAGATGCATGCTCTGGTGCTCGGGTGAGTCGTGTTAACATGACTGTTGTTGTTGCTGCTATTATTGTTGTTTTTGTTGTTCGGGGCCCAACAACGCAGTTTGGGCACGAAGACTGTCCCTGATAAAAAGCAGGTTGCGAGCCCCGCAGGTGGCACTTCAATTGAAACGCACAATGTGCACCAGTGGGGGGATCAACAATAGTTCTTCTTCAAGAGTGAGAAATGAACCATCCGAACAAAGCTAAACACCGCATCGCAACCACACCAAAAAGAAGCCATCACGAACACAGGCAGCAACCACAACCAAAACGAAACCAATCAAGTTGTGTGCATGAATATATATATATATATATATATATATATATATATATATAAGCAGCCATACATGTACATTTATATAGAACTACGGTTTACACATCTGAAATATACAAGCATATACGTCCAACTATACGTGGAAGATGAAGGAACAAGCCACGCCAGCAAATCGAACACAACAACAACAACAACAACAACAATTACTAGCACGTGGGGACACTCCGTTCTCACCAGCGCCAGGGTTTTCATAGGAGGCGGGCAATGCCCCCACTTTGTGGGGGGGCCGGTTCACGCTCTACCAAATTTCCAAACGACTCTTCGCCACCACCCACACCCAGCTTCCCGCCCTATGACGTTCGGACACTTCACTTCGTGGCATGCGGACGACCGTGGCTACTATTCAGGGCCCCGCGGCCGACGACGACGGCGTGCGCGCGCGAAGAAAAAACGAATGTGTCCCGCATGGTATTATTTGACAGGGATGATGGCCCTGGCAGGTGCGCAACCGTTGTCGCAGAAGTTCGAAAAAGTTGCTCGCAAAAGCCCGTTTGACAGAAATGTTTAAAAAGTGTTGGGTTTCCTACGAATCCGCAAGAGCGCGCGGGATGAGATTTTGACATTTTTTTGTTGAAAAACCATTGGTTTTTTGATGTTTTTATGTTAAAATCGCTGCGAACACTAAGGTTTTGGAAGGATTTCGTCTTGCGCGCGCGAATGTCCACTTTACCTTATTTTTTGCAAGGGATTCTTGAAATTTGATTATATTAGAACAAGAAATGTCATTTTCTATTGTTTTTTGCAAGGGAAAGCGGATTACAACAAAACAACCGGATCCTGTACACACCTCTTTTCTGAGGCTTCCTCACGAAAATGATGAAAATGTAGCTGCGGCCTAGGCGGCGCAGGGGGGGCGCGCACCAGGGGGCCCAACAATAATTATTCTTTAGAATAAATAATGTTCAACAACAACAACAACAACAACAACAACAACAACAACAACACAACAATTACTTAGCACACGTGGGGACACACTCCGTTCTCACCAGTGCCAGGGTTTTCATAGGAGGCGGGCAATACCCCCACTTTGTGGGGGGGGGCCGGTTCAAGCTCTACCAAATTTCCAAACGACTCTTCGCCACCACCCACACCCAGCTTCCCGCCCTATGACGTTCGGACACTTCACTTCGTGGCATGCGGACGACCGTGGCTACTATTCAGGGCCCCGCGGCCGACGACGACGGCGTGCGCGCGCGAAGAAAAAACGAATGTGTCCCGCATGGTATTATTTGACAGGGATGGTGGCCCTGGCAGGTGCGCAACCGTTGTTGCAGAAGTTCGAAAAAGTTGCTCGCAAAAGCCCGTTTGACAGAAATGATTAAAAAGTGTTGGGTTTCCTACGAATCCTTTGATCTCCACGGACCCACCGCATAGTGCAAGCAACTGGCAGGGCGGGACCTGCCAGCACTGAAAGACCTCGCCTCGGCGAGAGCCGCTATGGGGAGGGGGCTTCGCGAGTTCCTTTCGGAGCGCCCACTATGGCCCCCTCCCCGCACGGATCGACCCTCGGCTCGGGCTCCCACTGTCTGGCAGACATGCCAGAGACAGTGCACAAAAAGAAATAAACTCGCCACACAAGAGCCAAGCCTGTCACAGGAGGCGAAAGACAGGCGAGGACAGGCACCAGCTGACCCTCAGCTGGAAAAAATCGGCAACGCGGAGAGCGTCCTGAGCGGACAGGCGGTCGCCGCTTAGGTCGCGAGCAGCAACCTATGCCACAACAGCCTGAAAGCCAAGGAAGCAAAGCACGGCCGAGGATAATATTGAGAACAGAAACCGAAAGAAAAGGAATGGCTCCGAAGGCCAACGCACGAACAAAAGGTTCATACCTGCCAAAAGAGAAAGGCAGGCGAGAACGCAGAAATTCAATCCGAATCCCCCGACCCCGCCTCCACAGTCCCGCCCGTTCCCAGATCGTCCGCTTCGCAGCGGAGAGACGCAGCAATGCGATTCAAGCACTCCCTGGTGGCTGGGGCCGAGGCGACCACATCACACGAGGAAGAGCTGGGCGCAACGCTGCAGGCAGAAGCACTGGCAATGGCTGCAATAGCTGGCACTGTGGAGCTGGGACGCTCTTGCCCTCCAGCGCTGGCAGCACTGCCAGTCGGGCCAGAGGGCGCAGAGCTCGAAACATCTTCCTCCGAAAATTGAGGATTCGAAACCAAATACGAGTTGAAGCAACGCACTAGCGAGGTGTCATCAACTGTGACACCTTTGCTGGACTTAGAGTACTGCGGGTGAATTCCCTTACACAAGGCGGCCCAACCCTGACGGCCCGCACGGGTAGGCTTCTTGCAAACTTCGCCTAGGCCTCTAATCCTGCCACCTGTGGAGTGGCATTTACATTTTAGGCATATGAAAAGCACTGTCTTGTCAGAGCAGTCGAAGGCAACAGTCCTATGCCCAAGAGCATCTTGCCTTGCCGCATGCAGTTTAGAATCCTGGGGGCACCTACCAGGGGGAGGCCGTGACGAGCCCCTGTTCCCGCGGAGGCACACCGCACACCTCCAGACGTCAGCCCAGACTTCCCAACGATGGCCTACCTTACTGCGGGAGCTTAAATGCTCAGCAGGAGGAGGAGGGAGATAGGGAACGTCGAGAGAGAGCTTAGGCCAAAGAGGAAGCAAGTTAGCAGCAAGGATGCAATAACCCCTGGCCGCTTCCACAAGCTTGTCCACATTGGCTAATTCAGTCGGGTCAGATGGGTGAAGCTGAAGGGCATGTTTGGCCCCCACATCCGCATCAGCATTTCCACGCCTGAGGAAACGTTCTCTCTCCGAGATGCCCTCCTGGTGCACATCTAAATGAGCTTTGACCTTAACAATTCCTTCCAAAAAACGGCCCTCAAAGTTGTTGGCACACATGAACATTCCTGAATAAGACCTCTTGCCCGAGTACCTCTCAGGCAAGGGCAACGTGCTGTGAGACACAACGTTCGCACAGTCCGAATAGATTGTGGTCGGCAACACCAAGAACTGTGCGGCGACGCATCTGGCAGCATATTCAGCCGCCTGAGGCGTCTGAGGAAGATGAGCCCAGACAGGGCCTCTCGCCTCTCCAAGGCACGTGCCATCCTCAGCGTTCATAGTAATCGCATAGGCAGCTCTAGACAATTCCTTGATCGGGTGGCGCTGACAGGACCCATCTATGAAAACGTGCCCCCACATGTCCCCGTTCACTGGGACCCTGGGACCTTCAGGGCTAGGAAGCTCGTCACTATGCCAGACGAACTGAAGGGCATTAGTTCCCTCCTCAACAGGACGCGGCAACACATCAGCGGGATGAGCGAAAGCTCCTCTAGTATAAAGAGCTCGCACATAAGGGTCAGGTTCCGCCTGAGCTGTCCACACGGCGATGGCGTCTAGCACGACTGAGGCCGGGACCAGCTGAGTCCGCGACTCTTGGACTTCCGTCGCCGTGCACTGCCGAAGCCTGTGAAACACTGAGTCGGGCGCAGCAGAGCAGAGAGGGCAAAGCGGGTCTACCTGATACCCACATGCCAAGGCCTTGTCCGCAGACCAAATGGCATCACAAGAGCAAGCCCGAATCCAGCCCCTCTGCGCTGGTGTGAACTTCTTACTGACACAAGCAGCTCTGGGAATGTCCAGACACGCCCTGCATTCAAGCCCCCATTTACCCCCAAGATCCCGCTCGAGCCCACGCAGGTAGGCCTCTTTACACATAGTTTCCAACAGTTTGGGGGGAATCAGGCCGAGCTGCAAACGATAACCACGGTCGTCAAAGATAGCGGCATAGTCAACCATGGTCCAACCGAGGCGAAGGAGGGCAAGGCGAAGGGCAGACACGGGGCCCTTAACAGTAGGCCAAGTAACCCTAGGCAGCGCAAACACACTCCTGAAGCCGTCTCGGAGCTCCCTATGAGGAATGGACCAGGGGAACTCACGAGTTTGGGCCAGCCAGACCTCTTTGCTCCAGCGCAGGATGGGGGCCGAAGCAGCTCGCCAGCACGGGTCGTCCGACAGAAGGCAGACCGCCGTGAGAGACCTACTTTTAGCAAAAGGCCTCACTGTCTTGAAAGCTTGCCGCCTCACGGTTAGGAGAACCTGGTCGCTCACCCCCAGGATGTCCGCCCCATAGGCCCCTCCAGGGAGGGGGCCCGCGGCGAAAACTCTGAGGGCTTTGCGACCAAGGTAACCTGCCTGACGC